TTACTTTAAGAAAGAAAAACAATTATGTCAGGAAAAATATAAGGAAAAGATATTAATAATTTGGCAGTTATTGAGCACCAATAATTCAACTTCAGTGTTGATGCTTTCATTGAGTCTATGGATTGTAACTTTGTTATCCTCAGACTGGCATATATAAATCCTATCTGCTGGCTGCATATTTATAATTCTGCTGCATGCAAGTTCCCAAATAAACCAAATTTACTTGTTCAATGCCTCATTTTATCTTATTTTTTAAATTAAGATTGTATGTAATTGTTTTTATACTGCCAAGTGACTGGCCTGTAAATACTGTTTGAATAAAATGCCTTTATTTATTAATTTCAGATTGTATGTTTATCAATTTCAAAAGTTTATACAAATTTATGGAAATGATCATCAGCCCTTCTAACTTATGATGCTGGTGGAATAACTGGAAATCAGTGCAGCCTTATTTGGCTAAAAAGCTCCTATATTTTTATTCACTAATTCAGTTTACATAATCTAAAAGAAATGCATGTTTTAGTATAACATCTGATGCTTATACTGCATTAACTTAGAGTGTCCTCATTGATGACAATTAGTCTTAGAAAAAGGTTTGTATAATATAAGGATTTAGCCATCACATCTCCATATGCATGGATAACTATTTGGTAATTAAGCCACTTTGTCTAAATCTATTTCAATTTAAATAAGTTTCTTTGAAATAGTATTAGAACTAGCTACTGGTGAGTTGACAGGGATGCCAATTTCACCAAAAAAATTGGGCAGCTTTAAACTAAATTTTCACATTTACCTTAGTTTAAAAACTGAGGTTAGATTTAACTTCGGTTGGGGTACTGTGTTAGTCTCCTTGGCTGCCATAATATAATACCACAGACTGGATTGCTTAAATCACACAAATATATTTTCTCAGTTCTGGAGGCTAGAAGTCCAAGATCAAGGTGCCCATGGGGGTGGTTTCTGAGAGGACTCTTTAACCTGTGGATGGCCACCTTCCCACTGTGAGACAGAGAGTTAGTTCTGATGTGTATTCCTTTTCTTATAAGGACACCAGGCTTACTGGTTTAGGACTCAGCCTTATGGCCTCATTTAAGCTCAATTACCTCCTTAAAGATCCTATCTCCAAATACATTCACATTGACAGTTATAGTTTCAATATATCAATTTGGCAGGGGTGGGGGTTAGACATAGTTCAGCCCAAACAGGTAAATTTAAGTTTATGTTTAAATGATGGACTAATATCTGCTTTACTTCATCTTGGTATTTTTTAGTTTTGGGGACAATTCATAATTCTTCATAGTTAATGTCAAGGGACATGTTATAGACACAACCTTTATATATTTTAATAACACAACTATTTCATGCTATTTAAACTTCTGCTTAAATTTAGGCATTCCTTTGCACTCCAAAGTGAAAAATGAACAATTTCTGTTTACTTTGCACATAGCTAAGTGATCTGTTGGTTAAAGCTTTGACTTTGAACATTCATGTTTTATGTGCATACTGTTTTTCACAAATTAAATTTAAATCCTGAATAAAGAATATTGATATATAACTATTACAACTTGAAAACAAAATATACCAAAACAACAACAACAAAAAAATGCAATAATAAGCATTACTAATATTTAATTAGTAGCATACATAGTTTCTTGGGATAATAAAGTATTATTTTTGTTTAATAATTATAATAGTCATATAAGTGCTAACACTTAAGGAAGATATAATAAAATATATAATAAATCAAATTATACTTAACAAATTGGTCAATAATAGATTTCTTGAATTGATTTTTTTAAATTGTCCCTTTTTCTTTGATTAAATGTATATATTCAAACTTTTAAATTCATGGATTTTAAAATATAACCAAATATTCAATAAGCCCTTTTGGTTACTGCCAATGAATGCATCCGTAAAGGTCAAAAAAACCTATTTTTTAATATAAACATACCCTGAGGTTACAACACGACTTATCAATAGGGCAAAAATAAAGATCAGGAAGTTTCTAATAGGTTTGTTGAAGTAATATTATGTTTTGGATCATCTGTATCATTGTTTCTTGTTTTCAGTAAGGATGCTAACTGTTAAATATATTATTTTCTTATCATGTAATACATAGAAAGAAGAGATCCATTTTTTGAAGTTTATAAGAAAAACACTAGCAAGTCTCTTTATTAACACTGTACTCTCAGCTTATATTTAGATGTTCACAACTGTATTTGTTGATACATTAT